GTATCTTTCATGTCGCAGTGCAATTTCCAGGATGAATGCATGTGCTGCACCCCTTTATGGTAAGCGTGTTTTAATTTAGGCCTCTGTGATGTAAGACCCTGAAAAGTGCATTTAAAATTGAAAAGGCAGCTGGTCCTCAACACTAAAGGCACAAATATGATACCACAAAACATATTCTGAAGGGTGTGCCTTCTTCAAACACACATTCATTAGAAAGATTAAAATTCAGGAGAGAGACGGCACATGTCTTACAGTCATTATTAAAAAAAAACAAAACCAAAAAAAGTCAGTGGAAGCATTACAACTAAGAATCTAAGTTTAGTTCTTTATCCAAGTTGCATGTTGGCACAAGTGCAAAGGAAAGAGCTCWTGTTTAGGCAGCAAGTATTTGTAGGTGAAAACACTTCTTTAAAGGGTGAAAAACGTGTTTCATCTTACAGAGTTATTTTTGAACTTGGAAATCAGKGCATAAAGGATTTTCCTATGGTGGAAATGCACACTGGAGCACTTTTACTCAGGCCACATGAGGCAAATGACTACAATCGTGTTCAGTTTGATGGGGCACCTTCACAGCAGCATTTCATTTCAACCCATGATGATATAARCTATAAGAAGAGAATCAGTAGTGTGCTATTTAGGCTTGAGGCATTTAACTTGCCTCCAAAATTCTTCTAAGTTTGGAGTAATTCTGGTATGTCTCATAAATAYGTTAGAATTTAATTCTGTCCTTTCTGATAGTAAATTACAGAGGAATGGAGGGTCTCAGGTAATTTTTACACCACTCATGGTCGAGCCTCTAGGCACACATAAACAGGCACAGGGAATTAAACTTGTGTGATTTTTTTTTGTCTTAAATGACTGCCAAATGCTCCTGAGTTCAAGTTCCTCTTCCTGGCACCCAGCTATCTCCTTGGGCTGTGGTTCCTTCTGCTGTAATGGAAGACCAACACTCTTCCACCCCCACAAATGACTGTAAAGGATACAAATGACAATTAGTATATAAGATCAAACATGATTACACAGGTACTCTAAATCAAAATTCACAATATATAATTTATTATATTTTAACAATGTTTTTCAAGATCTCATGTTTCTCAGGGATTGTCTTCACCCCAATACTTGAAAAATCAAAGATAAGAAAGTACTATATAATGAAGTGCCATTGTTAAAAGGTCAAAACCCCTTTTGGGGTAGTTGTGTGCAGCAAAGTTACTGCAGAGCTTCCACAGCTTCATGCTGTAGGAGAGGTTATGATCAAAGAAAGCTCTGGCTGTGATTTTGGTGACAGCTGTACRGTAGTGGCACAAAGTCCTTAGCGTTTTTAGAAAGCACAAGGCTTTGGTGACCTTTCTCAAAAGGTGCCTTGCTCATCCTGTTAAGAGAGAGGTCCATCTGCAGCAGGGATAGAACTGACCTTGCTGCAGGAAGGTGGAAATCACCTCTGCTTTCCGCCCTCTCAGGATTTTAAAGACGAYAGCCATCCATGTTTCTTTCAGGAAGACAAAGACTTGTCCTGCTTTGCCTGCAAGCCGGAGAGAGGCCAGAATTCACACTGCAATCTCACAGGACTTTGACCAAAGGTTTTGTGGGAGAGCTTTCCCTTTTGTCATATTTCTTAGAAAAAAAAATCAAAGAGAAGACCCAAATCTCTTTAGGATTCAACAGAAACCAATTTATAAGAAGTGCTTYGGTGTCACAGCTATTCAGAGCATTTGGTGCAGTAACAAATTAAATACTGGTGGTATGGCAATGTCTTTGGCACAAGGAGGAGCAGCTATATGCAAGGTATTGCACCCAGATCACGTGGTTATACAGCAGTTCTTTCACCCYTCAATGAGTTTTGGACTACAGCTCCCACTGTACGGAAAGAACAGATTGGGTGGGAGAGAAGAAGCAGAAAACAAAAATAAAGGAAGAGCCCAGACTCTGATATGTTTGATGAAGACTGAACCAATGGCATTAAAAAAAATACCATAATTCACCAAAACATCATCTTCATAAGCTCTCTAGCTCCTGTTGGGGTTGTTTGGTTTTTTTAAATTGTGATAAAATGCAGATTCATGTCCACACTGAACATGTGACATGACATTCCAGCAYACACATACRTTCTCCAATGTGTGAAATCAGGAGKCAGGAATTTACCATAAGTCACTGAAGGTCTGTAATGGCTATTTAAAATAAAACATCTCTTTTGGATTGTCTGATCCTGCTGCCACTGCCTTCAGAGGGGCTGAATCAGACAGTTATCATCAGAGTCACGTAACTCCTCCCTTTYAAACCATCCCTCCAGCCATACTTTGTAAAGCTGCAGTCAAATAATTAACATGTGTAAAAGTACGTGCAGGAGGGGATGAAATTCTCTTCCTAAATATAGCTYACAGCACATCCATTTAAGTGTAAATGCTGGGGTTTCTAGACTTGAAGAGAAAAACAGAATCAAAGGCAAATGTTTACCTACCATGAATCTGGAGGTTTCCTTCACAGTTTCTGCAACTTAAGTACTCTTGATTATGGAAGTGAAGTTTTTCAGAATGTTGTCCATTTGCTATTTTTCTAAACAATTCATCTTGGTCACACTAAACCTTAAATTAACCCCCACTCCTACCCGCTTGCAATTTTAGCACGATGGCATTAACTGMAGAAGGAACAAAAAAAGCCCTTCAGCTGCCACTTCAGCACGCCCCATATCTTGGATTGTTTTTACTTTCAGCTTTTAAGGTCAGAACACGCATCCAGTTTTCCTCTAAGAGACTGGAGAGTCTACTGTCTTAAACAGTGGAGTTCTGTGAGCAGGATCAAGCCTGTGCTTTTGGACTTGCACGYGTGAAGCTCTCATAACCTGGGCTTGCATTTCTGGGCATTGTTAAGCCTGGCAGCAAACACTGGAAGGCCTTGTACCCAGTACCTGCAAATGGCAGCCTCTGTAAACAACACACACAGCAGAGCTGWGAGTCTTCATTCCCTTTCAGATGGAGCTGGAATCCATGCTGGAGTATTTGTAGAGTCCCAAAAGATTTTTGTGTGGAATGACTAATTATTTTTTGCCTTAGTGTTGGGCAGGGAAGCATAATATGTGTGTGATTACCAGAACATAAAAGGAGCATAGGATTATTTTCCATGGGAATCCTTGGGAACATCTTGGGGGATGGCTGTCTAARGAGGTGCTCTCTGCAGGACCATTAAACTCTCCTCCCAGCTTCTTCATCATGTGCTGTGACTTATCCCAAAGCTATCCAGTGGTGCATGGGGTTAACCATGAACCTTCTTTAGCTTTAACTCACCCTCCACCTCTGAGTCCTTCCAGGACACTCATAAGCCATGTGCTATATTTGCCTAGCTGGAGTTGTTATGAGGRTGTTGACACAAGGGAAAATATCTGCCTGGAAAAGAGGGTGGACTGGCACCCTTTGAAATTAAATATGGCCAAGCATCTGGAAAGGACTGCGTGGGTCAGTGTCACTGAGAAGCCCTGAAGCCAAGGGTTGGGCTAAGGAGGATACAGGCAGGGTATACACATCTCATTTCCCCTGTTTACCATACACCATTAAACGTCTGACCCAGCCACGTCAGCATTTCCATATTTCAAAGGCTTAATTGAACTCCAGAAGCCTTTCCTGATTGATACCTGTGCGGGGGTTTCTSCCACAGCCAGGTCTGGTCTGGGTAAACCCACAATTACAACCACCCAGACACCGAACAGGACCCTGTACTCACAGCACGGGTGAGAAAAGGAGGTCAAGCCACAAAAACTGGTTTTGCCAAAGTAGTCAGTCAACTGTTCATCATGTCACTTGCTGAGGCTGATCAAAGAGTGGGGGATGTGGGTGTTCAGAAGGGATGGTCTCACAATAGCTGTGAGAGAAAGGGAGGAACACGCAAGCGATGTTTGGCTATCAGAAGGCAACTTTCTGAAATACACGGAAAAGTTCAAACCTAATTTAATAATCMCCAAGGAGGGGAGGAAAAGGTGTGCACAGCTCCAGTGTTTTTCCCAGATCCATCCACTTCTGTGCTCCCTGAGGTAAAACCAGATTATTTGGCATCTGTTTGTCCAGCTCCCATGAGGCAGTGGAAACAGCTGTATCAAAAATGCAGAAACCTCTCAAGGGTGGAAAGGCATCTCGAGAGAAGAGCTGCCCTTCCCTCATGCCAAAAGTAGCCTGCTTTAGGACTAATCCTGAACTTGCAAAGTTTCAGCACATTTATTTTTCATTTTGATGAGCCAGGGCACGCTGAGTTGGGAATGTGCAGAAGCAAAGCACTGCTGCAGAACTGACAGCAATAAGTGAAGGTTTTGTGGAAGTTTTTTATTCCAAGCATTCAGTATAAAAASGTATGCAAAAAGTTCAAGGGGCAGCTGTGTGCCCATCTCTAGTGGGACTCCCAAAACCATCATCCTGCACCACTTTGTGTGAAGGAATCACCCCACTGACACTGCTGTCTCACTAAACCTGCTAATGGCACCCTCTCACCAGGGTGGAATTTGGGGGTGGGAAGGCTGAAGTGTTGAASTCAAGATTAGAGCATTTTCCTGCTATCTGCATCACAAAGACAATGTGTCATGTGCCTGTGAGACTACAACTCAGGTTTTTTATCATCCCTTTATATCAAAAGGAAGTTATGCACACAAAGGAAACACCAAACCATCATGTCAGGGGGGCTATAAATCACTCACTGCTGAATATTAAGAAGGCAACAGAGTGTCCAGTGGGAAAGCAAAGGTTTTGCTTTTCCTTACCATCTCCCATTTCCATAAACTTGGCTTTTRTTTTGGGAGAGGATGAAGGAGAGCACGAGGTTTGATGACCACAGCTACGAATGACAGCAGATTTGTCCCATAGGAATGACACACGGATGACTGCATGCACTGGTCAATGCCTTCCCATCCACCAGCAYATTCATTGCTGTTGCCCAAGCCAATCCCAATCCCGTGGTGTCCAGAAAAGCCATATGGCAAACAGCACAGAGATCACCTGAATTTTGTTGCCACTGTCTGTCCTAGTAAAACACAGGGTTACAAAAACCAGAAAATGGAGAAAACAGYGGGATAGTCAGCCCATCTGGCAGCAAGGAAGGGTCCTTTACTCTTGCCTGCTCTGATCTTACCAGCCTCCAAATGAACATCCTGGGAAAAGTCCAAGGAGCACTCCACATCCTCTTGCCCTGGCACTTGCCTGCAAGGATCCCAACAATTCTCCAAACCACATGGTGAAATYCCACTCCTGCTGAAAAAAAACTTTAGTATTTTCAAACTCTGTGACCTCCCAAAAAGTGTCAGCTCTGAAAGACTTCACTTTGACTACAAATTGTTGCAGATTGCTTCTCCAGCTCTTAAATTTTGAGCAATTATGATGGGCTAAAACACAATGTAATCATTGCTTTTAAAATATGATTGCCGCTCAAAAGAATTATTGGGGAGGGGAGTAATTGTCTGGAGGATGGCATGATTCAGGACTGCTGACTTCCACTCCTCACTCATTCAAAGTCACCAAGTGAGTCAGTGGAAAAATCATTGAATTCAGCACAGYCAACAGGGTACCAACATTCATATTTAGGTTCCTAAATCAACAGTGTGGAAGATTTCAGCTCAAAAACTGAAAGGTTTTGCAAGTAAGAGTGAAGGTAGGAGGCTACGTTGCAAGGCTGCAGTAAACACCATGCTAAACTTTGACACTTCAAATTCCAGTGGTTCTTACCCTAAATAAGTGTTGGCTAAAGGTGTAACAGCACTCAGGAAGTTTATTCCAATCCAAGCAGAAACAAGGTTCTCTGCAACAGCTGAAGTATTACTCTGCAAAATAAATGTTTCTTTTGAATGTAAAACACAGGACAGTCATAGCAGGCAAATCGTTAGTATGCAGGAGCTGCTGCCTTGAAGCTCTGCCACCAAAGGCTAATTAATTCTAGGTACCGTAACGATCGCATCCCAGGGAAGCGCTATTCTGTGTCTAAGCAGAAGCTGTGTATACAAACAACACAATGCACAAACAGAAATCACACCTCTGAGAGAGAGCCCTTTCATTCAGAAAAGTCAGTCAGCTCGAACGCGCTGCTTGCAAGAACCGGCACAGTAACCTGAATATTAGAAAAGTAAAATTCAATACTGCAGTGGAAGTAACAGTGAGAGGATTGTGCAGCGAGTGAGAGAAATCATGAAGAGAATAAATCGCTTAGCAGCTTGCGAATTAGCAGGACAGTGAAAGCAGAGATCAAATAAGAGATCTTGCAAATCCCCAGGAAATGACTCAAGAAGCTAGATAAAGTAAAACTTCAGCTTCCAAGCCTCAGACACATTTGCTTCTCACCATCGGGATAAATATGCGCACACACAACATGAGCACATAAAAATACATCYAGATCACACAGACAAGCTCTCAGGTATTAATCAGACAGTGATTAATACCCAGTCCCCCTCAGTGGTATAACCATTATAATGGCCTTTTAATTACACGATTGTGCCCTGGGTTTTTCACGTGGCTATAACTCTCCCCATATTCGGCTTCTGTAGTAACCAACTGCTAAATGCCATGCTCCCCACTTCAGGCACATCAACGTTCCTGCTAATCACAGACATTTYTGGCATGAAAGATTTGGAGGATGTTAGAGGTCTGTGCAATCTCAGCATCCTTTGGGGGAAAAAAAAGACATAGGATGGGTGGAAATGCATCAAATCATTACATCTGGTCTTTTATTATACAGCAGCTGAAGACGTTCTTGCCATTTCCTTGCCCCCAACCGCTTGCTCCTGCCCTGACACTTCCTTTTGCTGCCAGCTCAGCTTTGCCAAGATGTTTATCATGCCATTCTGCAAGCTGGATCCTTGAATAACTTTCCAAAAGAAAGAGGTACTGGGGGGTATTATTAGCTGGGACCATTTAGCGGATCCAGAAGTGTCACTCCTCAGCGGGGGATGCATTAGCACAGCCCAGGGGGTGACAAACTGTGCTTTGCAAAGGAAGGGGTGGGAAGGGGGTGGGGGATAGGCAGCACTGCCACCCAAAAGAGCACCCACAGTCTGCCAAGGGGAGAGCAGCAAGCTTGTACTCCCACACATTATCTGGTGTTATGGCCAAACCTCTAGCAGTGACAGGAGCGTTACTATAACATTGTGCCACAAAGCTGCAGGTTCTGGTACCACCTCCAAAGGACATGCTGCTTCTCCCTGGGGGTGACTGCCTATAAAGAAGACCTCAAAGCTTTCATCAGCTCTTGCCTCCATCTCATTACTGGCAATTCACAGATTTTTCTCCAAGTTTCTATTTCTGTTCCTGAAAAGAAAATTTMACGCACTTAGAAACTGAAACCCAGCGGAAACACAGAAACACAATTTCCACACCAAAATCTGAAGGCCCCTTCAAGACTAAATCCCACAGACTAGACTTGAAARATAAATCAGTATGTGGATCCCTTAGGAACTGCAGCCATATCAAGACTGAATATCCCTATGCATGGAGAACAGAGATGGTACATCTCCCTACCTGCAGTGGGAAARGGATGCTGCAGTGGAGGAGCCTGCAAAAGCTGGAGGGCAAGGTGATGTGCTTAGGTGGCACAGACTCATTTTTTGTCCCAGGATTGCCCGATCACAGAGGACCTGATGGAAGAAGCAAAACCAAAACTCACGGCTGGTTACTGAGCTTCATGGGCCAAACTTTCTTTTCAGTAGTCAGCTCCTGTTACCCCTCCACTGTGGACCAAGCAAGTCCTGAGGGCAGATGGCGTAGCTATGAACACAAAGTTGGGAGAGTGTTTACAGTTATGGCACACATTCGAACTGACCTACACAAAAAGCTGTACGATGATACCAGCATGCACCCCACAGCAATTCTGATTGTGGATCTAAGGGGCTCTTGTAGAGGGCAAAGTGGGAAGAACACAGGGGTGGTAAGAAAAAAGCACCTGAACCTTGGGATGTGTGGGGGCTAGGTTGGCTCCTCAGGCTTCTTCTACTGACCGGCATCATGGTATGGAAACACTTCCTGTGGGTCTCATCAGCCACAACGAGGAGCTGTGCCAAGCCAGGCTGCCCTGGGCTGAACTGAACCAAGCTGAGCCAGGCTGGGCTGAACACAGCCAGGCTGGGAGAGGTCAGGTCAAGGTGAGCCAAGATGTCCAGAGACGGGCAACAAAGTTAAGCAAGGGTGTGGAACACAAGTCTCATGAGGAATGGCTGAGGGAGCTGGGGTTGTTTAAACAGAAAAAGAGACTCAGGGGTGACCTTATCACCCTTTACAACTACCTGAGAGRAGGRTGTGCCCAGSTTGGGGTTGGCCTCTTCTCCAAGTCAACCAGTGACAGGACAAGAGGACACACTCTTAAGCTGCACCAGGAGAGGTTTAGGTTGCACATTAGGTGGAATTTCTTCACAGAAAGGATCATTAGGCATCGGAATGGGCTGCCCAGGGAGGTGGWGGAGYCACTGTCCCTGGAGRTGTTTAAGGAAAGRCTGGATGTGGCACTCASWGCCATGGTCWSACTGACACGGTGCTGTTCGGTCCTAGGTGGGAAATCGATGAYCTCAGAGGTCTTTYCCAACCTAASCGATTCTGTGCTTTTGAGCGTGGCCTGGTGGGGCTGAGCCAGGTCTCGCTGAGTCCGGCGGCGCCGGGCTGAGGGGGGCCGGGTGAGTCCGAAGCGGGCGATCCGAGCCGGGYCGGGCCGTAGCGCACCGCACACGCCGCAGCTGGGCGGGCCCCGCCGCTCCGGCCCGGCCG